CATGCCGTTCAAGACAGTTACTTCTTTACACAATCTATTGACATTGGTTATATTTATGAGCTAAATCACCAGACGCCTCTGAATGTTAACATTTGCGAACCCTTGTCAGCAGGGGCTGCAACTCGTTCAATAAAAAATAATTTAACTTTATTGATCTCTGTTGGAGAAATGTACCTCTGCATTTAACTCCTCTTGGGGAGCAGTGGGCCGCCATTGTGCGATGCACTATGAGGTTAAGGGTCTTGCTCAGATAGCCAGAATATCTGTGGGAGTGGAGCTTGAACTCACAACCTCAGGATTCCAAGGTCTATGCCCTAACCACTAGGCCCCCACTCCCCAAGTTCGCCATGTTTTCACATGGATTGGTCCACATAGTTAGACATTTCCCCACATCTGGACTTCCAGATGAAAAATTCTGGCATCTTTGGTGCTGTAGGGCAGGGAAAATTGCATAATTTCGCCATGCAGGCCTAAAGAACACACCAAGCATAAACCATACTGTAGTCTGATGGTCAGTGTAAGGAATTCTGTACCTTCCCCTAAGCTGAACGCTGTGGCAACAACCAACTATAACTATGGCAAACATGGCATGACTCAAAATTCACTTCAATTTAAGATAAAAAACAACTTTTTGTCCTGCCAACATACTCTTTAGTTGGGCTCCAGCTTACAATTATTTTGCTAATCGATTAATTTGTTGATTAATACATTAATAGTCAGATAGCCAAAGATTCCACAAAGAAGAGTTTTGACATAATCAAACCAGGTGAAAGTAAAACTTTTCCACTTGAGTTCTGGATAGAGCATACTGACAGATGAAAACTTTTTCTTTAACATTAAACGAAAAATTTGTTTTTTTATTAACAATTTTGATATAATTACTGTTCTAAGTGGGATTCTCTGTTAGCTAAAAGCATGTTTTTGAATATCTATACTCCAGTTAATGATAAATCGATTACTAAATTATTTGATTATTTCAATAATCCGATAAATTGTTTAAGCTCTAGTTGCAGCCCTAGCATAAACAAAGAGCTCATGGCCACTTTTGCACAATTATATAAGTTCGTTTATTCAGTGGGTCAAAAGTGGCCATGGACACCCTGCCTCCCATTCAGCATGAATTACACAACAAACAGCACAAGAATAACCCCTAACCACACCAACATTATGCAAGAGTTGTAATCTAAACAAAAGAAATTAAAAACAAATGTTAAATACCAACTATGTAAAGCCAGTCTACACTGAACTGATAGCTCTACCTCTAAATACTCACAGGATCACCATGGGCAGATGGGCTAAAAGCCAGCAGGCAACAACACAGGTGGTGCTCTCCCCCAGTAACCAGCTTTGATAAGTTGGCCTCAAGTTACAGTACATGAGGTTCAGCTTTCACACTTACAGTAACCAAGGCTGAGAACTTCCCCTCTTGCTATAGTGTATTGTACACATGTAAAACACAACCTCTTTAAATGTTAAGCAAGAAATTTTGCAAAAAGAAAAGGGAGGTTGAATGCAATAAGATTCACAGCACAATCAGTTGAGTTGGACCCGCCGCAAAGACAAAATGATTTGGACAAAGCAACTTAAAATGCTGACAAGTGTTTTGATATAGTATTAATTATATCTCAGTATTACTAACACCAATAATTTGGTCTTAACGTCACACCCTACACCTTAAGCAAATTCATTCAGAACTGAAGAAAGCGTGAATATAACTAGGACTGCAACTAATGACTATTTTCATATTCAATTGATCGTTCGATTCTTTATTCGATTTACACTGAATTTAAACCAAATGAATCTAAAACTGCGCCCTTTGAGGACTTCCAGATAGAGCATATCAATGGACAGAAAATGTTTGTCATCTGAAATGCAAAATGTTTATTTATCAATTTTTTTTTTTTACAATTTTGGAATAATGACTTATTTGAGTGGATTTTACTTTTAGCTAAAGGTCTTAATGTTTTACTCAAGTAACAGATCAATTGATTACTGATTTACTTGACGATTGTTTCAATAACTGATTAATCATAATTAAGCTGATCAATTTTTTCAATACCAGATTTAACAAAACAATCCATGTCTGCTAACTGAGCTTTTTTTTCTTCCTTCATTTGCTTTAATATGTAGCAGAGCAGAGACAATAGGCTACAGCTTGTGTACACAAGGACCAGAAAACTATTCTAGCTTTTGAGGTGCCAAGAAGAAAAGCACATTTTGTTTCCGAGTATACATACTTTCCAAGAAGCACAGCTGCCAACTTAAGAATTCCCATTCACTATAGCCTGTGACACACCCACAAATAAAAAAAAAAAAATCCCATAGCTGCTACATCCATTTAAAGTCTTGGTATTGGCATAATTCGATTGTAATACTAACAGTTTAAACGCAAGCAGAGACTGTACTGAAACCCAGTCAAAAGGACAATGCTCTACAATGAGCAGATTGTCCTGATTTTCAGGGGAACCCAGCATTAACCCTGCACTAACTCTTTACCAGGGACATTTATGATTCATATCAGGTTCCAAATGAAAATAATGAGCCATTGATAAAAAAATTAAAAAGAAAACCCAGGCTCCTGCTGTGGTGTCTCATCTTCGAATTTAGGCACTCCAGTTTATATTGAGTCTCGACCAAATTGTGAAGCATAACATTTAAAAAAAGCACACTTTATAAACAATTAAGCAGGGGAAATTAATCCCTTTGTTAGCTTTAGCATACAAGTTAGAAATTGGTTGATGCTACTCAAAACAAGGTTTAAAATGAAAACCTTGTTGCTTTAAATCAAAAAAAAAAGAAGGCCCCACCTTCAGTTCAAAGCTTCAGGATATCCGCTCTTCATCATGTGGGACCATATAAAGTCTCTGAATGAAAGTTGTGCTCTTAAAGATTGAGTTGAAGAAATGCTGTGTCTAGACTAGCAAGTGCATCATGTGCTAATTAGCTGAAAGCAAGCTCACCAGAAGGAATAACCTGTGTGTTAAAACATGAGTCACGTATAAAGACTTGAGTTGGCATTACCCAGAATGCCAGATACGCTGGTCTTTCATAAAAACAAACCTTCAATTAGCTGCCCCGAATAGATACGGTCAGAACAACTCTTATGTCAACAAAAGGCAGCATAAAAAGATCTTAATGTCCCAAGTTGTCAAACCTACCCCCCTCTATAAGCTAAGTGGGTCACCTTGCAGTGACTCACTCATAAGAAGGAATGTATAATTAGCTTACCTGTTACTCATTCACTTATCCACCCAAGTTGGCAGGGAAGTTTAAAGCCTCGGTATGGTATCAACCACAAACTGAAATTTACTACCAGCTACAAAACGGGAATGATCGCAAGGCCATAAATCAAAAACTGGTCAACCATGGGAATTTGCAGGGGCCTTTAGTGTCACAGCTGCTCAAGTCAACTTCCTCCCAAACTGCATTTCCTCATTTTACTTCGGCTAAAAATGGTGGGGTGTTTTCTGTTTTCAAAAACCAAAGAAAGGAATAGAAAACAGGCCTAAGAATGCACTTAGCAGCATTTTTAAAGGCACATACAATTAAACTGTTAAAACAGACAGGTGATAGTACTGCATCTGTGTTGAGTAGAGTTGGTATGTCACTATGAGAAAGTCTGCCGCTACTTTATGCTCCAGTCACTATAGTTTACTTTCATAAAGGCCACAACATCTCCACAAAAGCAACTATTTCTGTACAAAAGGTTTTTTTTTTTTAAAATTCCTATTTATAACAAAACAGATTTAGAGTTTTGTGCATTTTCTAACATCTAACAAGCCTAGGTTTGGGAAAGATATGAAGTTTAACTATTGGTCTGAGAAAACAGTGTTTGGCTTTTGTTTCTTTTAAAAAAGCTGCAGTGGATTCTGCTCATAAGATAAAATATTGTATCATTTTAAAGGATCGCTTGAGTTTAAAGCAGAAGATTATACATATATTGTACAAATGTATAAAAATAAATATCTGAACTAAAATTATAGCCATTTCATTTTATCACTTATTTTGTTAAATGTTAATCCTCCGCATATTAGAACGTAAATGGGCGACATGCAATTAAAAAAAAACAAATTTGTAACCGTTTAAAATGCAAAATTTCCCACCATTTTAAACGACCTTAAATACTCTTTTTAAAGGTGGATCTAAGTAGGATGCCTAGTTAAAACAACGCCCTGGATCCCGGCGTCGAACACACGGGACAACAGTGCATCGGGTTTAATATTTATCACATGGCGTGGGAAGAAAAAAAAAAAAAAAACGGTTAAGGCAGTCGCCATCTGGGTTTCCAGACTACTATGTCAAAATTAATGACGGCAGTCTATATAAGCACGAAGCCCCAGAAAATAAGACATTCGCAAAAGCACAGCTGGGATCTGTGTTACAGATATATCAACTGAAAAACACAAAACAACCCTACTGGTTAAAGGCCAAATAGATCGTAGAGCAGTCTGCTAAGCTAGACCTGCTCCGCTAGCTAAAATGCACATATAATAAAAAAAACGGTATAATCACCTTTCACCATGACACTATGGAAAAAGCCATTTATTACTATAACACTTTTGTAACGTCAAAAGTGACCCATCAATTGGAACAAAACCCGATAGAGGTTTCCCCGTTGATAGTGATGACAATAGCAAGCTAGTACCGCTACATTAGCTAGCAGATTAGCCTAACTCCGAAATTTGCCGTCACCGGGAGCAACAATAAACCAAATAAACTCTCAAAAAGTTCGTCTTTATTTAAACGTCGTAGCTCTCAAATAAAGAAAACAACCAAACCGGTAATATTTCATTTTTGTAAAATACATTTTAACTGTCACGCGGCGACAGTTGCAGCTGTCCAAGCTACGAAGCTAAGCTAACCGTGGTTTGCCTTATCAGAGCAGCAAATTACTACTTCTGGTGCGTATTTATATAAGCCCTCTAAAAAAAATGTAAAACCCACGTTTTGGTTAAAAAAACAGAAACAATACGTTGACAATATTATCGCTGAATACTTACAAGGATCAGGTTGAACATTGAAATCCCGTAACTACCCCGGAGAAAGTGGAGGGAGTGCAGACACCACTGTCAGGTCGCCTTTTTGTTCCTCTTCACTGTAGCGTCCTGAATTGTCGTTGGAAGCCGTGCTCGTTTGGGTGGGCGGAGCTTCTTGATGCGTTTGTGGACCGTTGGAAACTTTTAGTGACAGGAAATGTGAACTAATTAGAGACGCTAAGTTTTTGCGGAATGCAATTTTGAGACATTCCTAAAGCTATTTCAAAGCAAAAGACACATTCCTGCCAAGCTCATGTAAAGTCTGTGATTTATGGGCAGACGTTTTAAATGCAGGTTATTTTACAACTAGTTCAAATGTCTAGTACTGTAACCTCGAAAAACACGGAAACACTGCCTTGTGGTCTAGTTAATCAAATTTAGCTAAATAAAAACAGCGAACCTACACATAGAACGATGCAAGTATAACAAAATATTCCTTTAACTAAAGAGATGTATTATTTTAAACTCCCATAATTGTTCTCAGAAAAAAAGTAGAATTTAAAGCCAAATGGACAAATTGAGAGCTCACATAGGGTTTTTTCGGATCAAATTTTCGATAATTTACTAAAATATACCATAATCAATCAACAAATCAATAGTTCAATCAATTGATCGTTATTGACAACTGCAATTTGCATTTTAATAGAAATTAGTTTCATCACATACATTACATTTACGTGCAGTAACAAAAATAATCTTTATAGACCTATTATAAAAGCTGTTTTTAAAATAGAACTGTAGTGTTTAACCTCTTTGCAATTCTAAGTAATATATTCTTCCTTCAAATTCTGTAGCTGCTTTATAATTAACCTAAAATAAAATCAGATGTTAATTTTAAACCTGAAAAAGTAAGTATCCAGATAATTTTAAAAAAAAAAACTAGTTGTTTTTATTTATTTATATTATGGATAAAAATTATTCCCTCGTAAAATAAATCCGTCATGAGAAAATAAAAAAAAAAGTTAGTAGCCCCAACACCGAATCGGTAATGCATTTTACCAGGAACACCCAAACGCTACACAGAGGGTCTGGCGTCAGCAAGACGTAAGAGGGATCCGGGTGAATAATGACAACTCACAATGGTGACGACAGTTCCAGAAAGTTAGAACAACAAATGATCCCTGTGCTCATGGGTTATTTGTTTTATATATAGATATAAAATGTCACGTGCCAATGGAATCAAATTGCAAAATAGTTAAAGTGAGCTTATTAACTAACATATAGTGTTTTGGATCAACTTTACGTCTTTAAAAACTATATAT